AAGATGGTCTGGATAGCCCACAGACATACCATAAACATTTATAGGACCCATAATTGGTCTCCTTTAAGGAGCTTTATTGTCCTGCTGGGTCAGAACCTGTCTCTCAGAAGTCTGTAACAGGTTTCTAAGCTTTGACCTGGGATGAACTCACCTCCTTCTCCATGATGGCCTGGTGCTTCTTGGACAACTTATCAGCCTCGATGGAGAAGTTGTTCCTCTGATTCTCCAGCTCTTTGTCCAGTTTCAGCTGATGTTCGTCCATCTCAGCCTTCAGCTTGTTCTCCAGACCCATCAGCTGCTTCTGGTGCTGCCGCCTCATCCGTTTGTAACCGGACATCTGCTCCCTCAGAGCCGAGCCCTGCTCGTGTTCCTGGATCTGTCGGGTTACCTGCAGGACCCAGAGAGGAACGGGTCATGGTTCAGAGGCTCAGCAGAATCCGTCAGACCAGCTAAGCCACACCCAGGTCCGGTCCGGGGGATCTTACCAGAGAGGCGGTGCGGATGGTGGCAAAGTGGTCTCGGTTGCGGTAGAAGGCTCTGCGGCGTCCAGCTGAAGGAAGCTGAGGCTCCATCTCTGGTTGGTAGGGGTCATCGTAGATGTTGTCCTGACCCTGAGGAGGACCGAGAGTTTCAGAGAGTTCCAGGGGGTTTCAGAAGGTTTCAGAGAGTTTCAGAGGGTTTCAGAAGGTTTCAGAGAGTTTCAGAGTTTCTGAAGGTTTCAGATAGTTTCAGAAGGTTTCAGAGAGTTTCAGAGGGTTTCAGAGAGTTTCAGAGGGTTTCAGAAGGTTTCAGAGAGTTTCAGAGTTTCTGAAGGTTTCAGATAGTTTCAGAAGGTTTCAGAGAGTTTCAGAGGGTTTCAGAGAGTTTCAGAGGGTTTCAGAAGGTTTCAGAGAGTTTCAGAGAGTTTCAGCGGGTTTCAGAAGGTTTCAGAGAGTTTCAGAGGGTTTCAGAGGGTTTTAGAAGTTTTCAGAAGGTTTCAGAGAGTTTCAAAGAGTTTCAGAGGGTTTCAGAGAGTTTCAGAGGGTTTCAGAAGGTTTCAGAGGGTTTCAGAGGGTTTCAGAGGGTTTCAGAGAGTTTCAGAGGCTTTCAGAGAGTTTCAGAGAGTTTCAGAGGGTTTCAGAGAGTTTCAGAGAGTTTCAGAGGGTTTCAGAGAGTTTCAGAGGGTTTCAGAGGGTTTCAGAGAGTTTCAGAGAGTTTCAGAGGGTTTCAGAGGGTTTCAGAGAGTTTCAGAAAGTTTCAAAGAGTTTCAGAGGGTTTCAGAGAGTTTCAGAGGGTTTCAGAAGGTTTCAGAGAGTTTCAGAGGGTTTCAGAGAGTTTCAGAGGGTTTCAGAAGGTTTCAGAGAGTTTCAGAGAGTTTTGGAAGGTTTCAGAGAGTTTCAGA